TTGCGAGTTCGATTCATTTAAAAGATAGATGTTTTGACGAGAATCACATCAACAAAAAGTTAACCGCAACAAAATAAACTCAACCATGTGCGTTTTCTAAAATTCTTCAGAACAAATATATACCTCCCTATGCAAATCTTCACCAGGCATCTACCGAAAGCAACCCAAACCCAATACAACGTCATAGCACCTCTATAAATCGCATTACATGTTTGATGCAAAGACCTCAACTACCTCGCAAGGCCACGAAATAAAAAGAGTCCTTGTGTAAAACCAGTAGAAGTTTTATGTGGAACTTTTTGTGGGGGTAACAAGGGATCGCAATCGAAGTCGTTACGGTTGAGGACATCAACGTTTCATTGTAGAACAGGGAACAGGGAAGCCGATCCTGAATTCCTGATTAAGTTGTTGGTTCTTGCAGTAAACTTTATGCGCTGTTTTATCGTCTGTGTATAATTTACTGTGTACCTACGCAGTAGCAGGAGCGGAAAATTAAGGATACATTCCTTGTTGGTGTTTGAATGTTCCTTCTTTTTTTATCAAGCCTTTGACTGCCGTTCGTAAACTATTGAAGGCATATCCTCCGCTCCGCTACTGTAGGTCACCGGTGACCGACGTGGTGGTTAATGTGTGCGCTGCGGTGTGGTTAAGAATTTGTCTTCTTGCTTCTTCCTCCTTGGATGAGCGGGAGTGTCAGACTTTTACTGACAAAACTCACCTCCTTCTACTGCTCCGGGCTGGCGCCGTGGAACACTATGTAACACTTGCACCCGCACCCCAGCCCAGCTTTTTCCTTAAGCTTATGTTTGTCTAAGAACCTACATATCTATCTATCAATTTTCATCATGATCATTAGTCTTACTCATACATAACAAAAGCCTATTCGTAGAAAATTCTAAATGCAAAAAACATTCCTTTCATCGGAACCCTTAGGTACGAAAACAGCACTTGAAAACTCGAAAAAGTGATTAATTTCCCTGACATTATCAGTCTCGAATGTATACTAGAATACAAGGTCTGTTATTCTAAATGTCTTTGTGTAGGTTGAGTTAAAACAAAGGCAAAAACTTGGTTCAACTGAATGTCGAGGAAGTACGAACAAAGGGAGGGTCTAGCCTTGATGTACGCAAGGACAATCGTAATAAGATTTTGGCGAGCGATAGCCATATAAAACTAAAATGTAGCTATGTATTTAGATGATGTAGCTTCTGTTTTCATTTTCACTTGATAGAAATAGGCAGTAAATGAATCAGTTATAGTTTTACATATCATTTCAGTTTAGTACCTACATTATGTAAGTGAGACACAGTGAAAAAAGCTAGTGCTTTTGGAATAGGGGAAATAATCGGGGAATAGTGACTTCCTGCAGATTTTTGGTATAAAAATTATCACATGTAGGTAGGTATCCTTTCTCGAGTCCCAAACTATGTCTGTACCAAATTTCACAGAAATCGGTTTATTAGTTTAGGCCTGAAGAAAATGAGCATTTCACAAACTGAACTTACTACTTTTTCTTTGCTTTTCCCTGTATATAAATAAAATAATAGCGGGGAAAGATTGGGCTTCCGGTTACCTCACTAACACGACGTAACACAACTCTGTGTTTTTTTCATGCCGATTTTCTGTGAGGTCATGGTATCACTCCGGTCGAGCCGACCCATTCGTGCCAAAGCTTGGCTCTTCCACATTCAAATACATGAAAAAGAAACAGATTAGGTAAGTACTTACACGCCTCACTAGGATATATTACAACAAATTACGTACCTACTTAGATACATACATTACAGCAAATTCGGATACCAACGAGCTCTAATGTGTCCTTTATTTGCGAATAAAAGGATCATACGACAATGGGCGGGTAGGGAGGTATCAGATCCTACAGCTCTGACGTCATTAATCACAAAAACTGCGCTTTAATGGATGACGAGCGAGTAAATGCGATCTGGCGGAGACGCGACGAACGCGAACTAAATTGAATGCTCCCACCAATATGACTGAGTCGTCGCGTTTACGTGGGGATTGAATTAATGGCGGCTAAAGGATTTCACGTTGAGCTGTGATTTGGAATTTTCGCGAATAAGTATCTACTTGTGACCAAGACTGATATCTATTGCAAGGAAAGAGGAAGGTGGTATATGTCTGCCTTCAGCTAAGCTCAAATAACTTTTTTTATTTATTTTTGAGGATGAAAATTCATCAGTTGACTTTTCTCGCCTAGGGTACGATGGCGATAGCGAGATGGAGTGTCAGACTGTTACTGACTAAAAACCCCCGATTCTTCTAGGCTGAACATAGGCCCTGCTGGGCCCCAGCTGTAGTGGTCAATTGGCTCTTTGAGGCGGACTTACCTAAATACCTAATTATTAATTAATGTAGTAAGATGCACTGTAGACAGATAGAAAATTCTTCAATTTTTAAAATATTGTGTACCTACTTACATCCTAATGCGCTATTTAATATTCTTTACTTCAATTCTATGATTTTGCAAGTTTGCTTTAGACTTAAGGGTTAATAGGGTATAACTTTGTTGAAGCACTTCTTTTACTTCCATACCTACTGACTAATACCAAGTGACGTATTAGTGATGCTTATCCAAATCAAAACAACACCATTACCGTAGGTAATCATTATTACATACTTAGATACTTTTTGTGAGGGGAAAATCATCAAATGACTTCTCCCGCCCAGGGCCGGGCGGGAGGGAGTGTCAGACTCTTACTGACTAAAAACCCCCTGTTCCTTCTCCTGCTCTGGGCCGAGGTCGCGGTGCCTTATTGCGCTTACCCCGCAACCCCGGCTGATTACATAGGTACTTACAAACAGGTTAGAAAAATAAATACTTATATATAATTTCCGTATGCTTCTTTCATCACAGTAACTGACTGTAATTACGAAAAATCCTTTATCTCTAAACCTGTTTTCAAAATTATTGGCGAACAATCAACAAAATAAAAAAAAAATAAGTTGGTCGTTGTCGATACGTGAAGTGCGAATACAACTATCCTTACGTCTTAACTTTTTTATTTCAAGATTAAAAAACAACCACACCAATGTGTTTCGCCGTGTAAGTGAGGTTACTGGAGGCCCAATCCTTCCTCCTCCCCCAAGCCCTTAATCTCCAAATCCTTAATCCCCAAAAGGTCGGCTACGCACTCGTAATTCCTCTGTTGTTGCGGGTGCCCATGGTTGGCGCTGATTGCTTACCATCAGGTAATCCGTCTGCTCGTTAGCCGACCTATACCTACCATAAAGAAATGAATAAATGTATTAAAATATTATAATATATGAGCTAGGTAAAATAAACACATTGTATAGGTAGAATTATTTATTTTATTCTCAGTAGGTATATTGATTAAAAATAACCAATATCAATATTATTTTTATAACAAATGTCATACCTATAAGGATACTAATCATTATTATATTTAAATTAAATTATTATTTAACATTAAAAACATTACAATACAATCTTACACAGGAACTTTATAACATAATTATTATGATCTATCGGTTTAGATAATTAATTAACTAAAGGTTGGTATGTCCTTTTAAATTAAAGAGTACGAATAAAACTTAAACAAAGATTATTTCAATTTAGTATTGTGACGTCCCTGGGACCCACTATTAGTATTGTTAATAGAAAGTCAATGGCGACCATAAACAATATCTGGTATATACAGATATTTTTTATGGGCGCCATTGACTATCTATGGTTTTAATTTTGACACAAGAACTTTGGCAGGCGGTTAGACATGTAAGAACTTCAGCCGGGGTTGCGGGGTAAGCGCAATGAGGCACCGCAACCTCGGCCCAGAGCAGGAGAAGGAACAAGAGGGTTTTTAGTCAGTAAGAGTCTGACACTCCCTCCCGCCCGGCCCTGGGCGGGAGAAGTCATTTGATGATTTGCTCATCACAAAAAAAGACATATAAGGACAAGAGGACAAGTGATTACAAGTATTTAGCATTGAACACGTATTTTATTTAAAAGTCCGCCTCTATTTTACACGGCGTACGAACCCAAAGTTTATTAGCCAACATCGATTTAGGTTAATACTTGATTGTAAACATTTTTATATAGGTATCTACCTACAATTTTTAAACAAATTTCATATAAATAAAAAATAGAAAGACATGTCGAGATTGTTGACATTTAGGGCTAATTTATCAATAGTCAGATAAATGTTATCTGAGGAATAAAATTGTTGCTGTCTCCGTCTTATACAAACATTCTGACGCGACAGCATCATAATTATTTAGCAGGTAACTTTTTTTTTTATTATCTAAACCGATAGAATCTAGTTATAATAGGCACATCACAAAATTTGGTCCTGGGTAAGCGTGTTCCATCGAGGTCGCGTCGTGGCTTACAACCAGGCGTAACAGATAAAAAAATAGCTAGGTACTGTACGACCAAAGGGCAAAGTTAGTCTTTTAAATAAACAAACTCCATTTCAACTGTACAGTTAATTTGTCAGGACTATAATTACTTAAGGGCATTTAGAATCCTTTCGAAAGACTTCGTCAGAGGTATAATATAACCTAGAAAACTTAGTTTCTTAATTAGATTAATTAATCTTTTTGTTCTCAATTTGAAATCTGTCTTAATCAGGACATAGCTAGACTGGAGAACGAGTAGGCGTTTTGAACCAAAATGATTGATTGACTAATAAAATTGGCACCGTCACTTTGGTAGAAAAAGGGCCTTTATGAAGCTGGCTTCAAAGGGTTTATTAGAGTTAATTAGCAAAAGCATTATCTTTTGAAATATTGTTATTGTAAGAATGTTTCAGAGATAAAATTAAATAGTAAATGGGCTACGTCAAAAGATCAATCCCATAATATTTTTTGATAGAATATAGGCCAAAAGTCAACTGTAGGGAAAGAACAGACGGGGTTGCGGGGCAAGTGTAATAAGAAAAAGCAACGGGAGGTTTATAATCAGTAAGAGTCTGACACTCCTTCTCGCCTCATCCTGTGTGGGAGAAGTCAATTTATAATTTTCCCCTCACAAAAAAGCTATAGAGAAAGAATCGTCAATAATAAGTTAGACATCCCATTTTCTCATCTTTATAGAAATCCTTCAGCTATAAGTTCCAAACAGACAGCAACAATCCACAATCCAACAAGTACCTACTTACAAGTATTTCTACCGAAAGAAACAAAACTATTCTAAAACTTAATCCTATATCACAATCAATATTCAAGCAGCATTCTGCAGAACGAAGTAGTAAGGCGGATGCATTCTGTTGACTCCAACTGTAGCCATATTGGGGGCAGGTCCGTGCCATTCTAGCCTGTATTTGTCTAAAACTCTTGTTGTTAACGAAGCTAGCATTTTTCCAACTACGCCAGTACCTGGGCAGGCTTCTCCGAAGGGCATGGATGCTAAGGGATGAGCTCTGGAAGCTTTTAAAGGCTCCCAACCTTCACTGCACCACCTTTCTGGAACGAAGGCCTTTGCTCTACCCCATTGCTTCTCAGATTTGCTTGTGACACCGTGAGCGAGGACTATGTCCACCTGTTGAAAAAAGAGTGTAGTTGTAATACATATTTAGGAACAAGTTTACTTGTAAAAGCAACCTACAAATGTAAACAAAGATGCGATCCCAGATACATTTTTTTTTATTTTCCTGATAAATGTTAGGTAAGAATTATAATATCTATAACTAAACAAACGATTTAAATATCAATTATAAAAGAAACACGATCGATTTTTGAAAACAAATTTTTACTCTTAAAAACTTCAGATCGATTCAGAAAATTTGGATTAAGATTTGCCATATTTTACTTGATTCGACGCTAGCCTCTAGAACTATCTTTCGGAATTACACAAGTCTTTTTGTGTTTGATAGTCCATTTATTAAAGACGGCTACAGGCTAGAAAACATCACTCTACGACTAATAGTAAGTGAGACAGTATGCAGTTCGTATGAAACATATTCTAAAGAAGAACAGACATGATTATTACAGTATCTAAGCAACAGTGCATTTTACTAGAGCTCTTTTGAGACATAATTGAAACGGACCGTACTCTCAGAGTGGAATAAAATATCAACATCTACATAAAGATAAAACAACACAAGGTCTCCAGAAACTGTTTTCTTAGCGAATACAATGAAAGCAATGAACATTGTATGAATTACTGTCTCTTAAAATATTGCTCCGTATGTTGTGCAGACGAAGATCTACATAGTTGGAGTTGGAAGCTTGCAAAATTAATTTTGTTTATAAGGTATGAGACGAGCATTGGTGATGTTTCTTTTGAAGGACATTCCAGTTGAAATGTATCTACTTTGTTATTGTATATGTAGTTAGTCAATAAATACCAATAAACACAAATACCTAGACTGCCGTAGCACGAAACTTTAAGATATTGTAACATGAAATGTAACACTCGATCAAGAGATTCATCTCTCACTTTCTCTGAGAGGTAAAGACAAGTGAGCATAACTGAATAACTAAATGTTAAGTGCTAAAAGACGCCAAAATGAGAGTTATCTGTTTACACATATGTATATAACAAAAACAATCAAAATCGTATCTGAAGATAACCAAGTAATGATCAACTTACCCCAGCAGGTATTTCATAGCCACCAACAATTATGGCCTCCCTGTTCCTTCTGACAACTCCACCAGTAGCTGGATGAAGTCTCATGGCCTCTCGAGCACAGGCAGCCACATAGGGCAGTTCTGGAGTATCACAACCTGCTTCCCTGGATGCTATGGACCAGTGTACTTCATCATGAGCTCTTTGCTGGCGAGCGGCGTGAAGAGATAGTTGGTAGAACATGTTTAAAGCTGTTTGGGCGAGCTGGAAAAGAGAATAAAGGTTAAATGGGTGTTTTACTTCAACAGTTTAAGACACTGCAACGCTGATAGACTTCTACGTAAATAAAATGGGTTCGTCACAACCACTTGAGAGATATCAAACATACGGATGGAGCGGAGTTCCTTTCGATTAATTAGTGAAGCAATTGTAATGATTTTTTTTAAGTTATAATACCGCCCGCTTTTCATAAATGAAGAGGTGGGTTTGAAACCTGACATGTTCAAATGTGACTTTTCCGAGTCATATAGGTATTTTGTAAATACATTTTTGAAAACACTTACAAAGGGTAACGGAAAACATCGTGAGGAAACCTAGACTTAGTAAGACTTTACGTCCTTTCCGACTAGACCCCTGTCGCAACGAGCGATAAGAAACCTCGTTCCAAAAGTAATTTTGTACCTTATCTAAACTAATATTATAAAGAGGTAAAATTTTTAAGTTTGTAATTTTGTATGTAGGGGGTAATCTTTGGAACCACTGGTCGGATTGCTAAAATTCTTTCACTGTTAGATAGCTGCAATGTTCCTTAGTGCTATAGGCTATAAAACATCACGCTACGATTAAATGGAGCCGAGTAGCGGGTGAAACCGCGCGAGAGTAGCTAGTAAGTATTATAATATTATTCAACTGAAATTATAATGGTTTATTGAACTGATCCAGTTATCAATTTAGAAGGTAATTATGCTAACAAAATAGACTGTAATGGAGTATCACGTTTAGTTTACCTATCCTCAAGCTGTGACCTAAGCAAACAGAGAGCACTATCGTCCCTTTTCTGTTTGTAGTCATAACAATAAGGTTCTGATATAACAAGGTTTTTGATATAATATAGGTCCTTGGTCCTAGTAAGTTAATGCTTTATCTAGAGGTTAATGTTCTACAAGCAATTTTAGTATCTCCCTTCTATTTATTACGACATCAAAACAGACAGACAATAGTTCCCTAAAAGCGCAGAGACTTTAAAAATTACTTGTTATAATCATATTCAAAATCCTAATGATTTTGTCTTTTTTTAAGGGGAAAATCATCAAATGACTTCACTTTTCCTGGACGGGGAGAGTTGGTTTCCTTATTGACTAAAAATCCCATTCTTGCTTAACTCAGACTGAACTTGCTTCAGAATTGCACTTGAGACACGATTAATAATCAACAGCTTATAAGTGTCCACTGCTGAGCAAAGGCACACGAGAAGCTATTAGCGTTGATCACAACACTTGCTGAAGCCTAAATGGCGATTTCAAACTTATACCTTGACATTATAATTTCAGGTTTCCTCACGTTATTTTCCTTGCAGTGTGTCAGTGATGTCTAAATAACTCGAGGCTACATTTTGGTAGTTGCCTGCGCACTCATTAATGAGAAGGTCTTATAATGACCAACGAAAATAAATTGAAATATCGAATATTGAACCTTATAATTTATCGATCTTACTTATAGCTATTGCAAATAAGACTGTAAATATATTTTATACTTACAGGGTGTACGCCGGCTAGTAGAATATCAGCAGCTAGAGGCAGGATCCGCCTCTGCAGAGGTCGTAATTTGTCGAGTAAAACCTGTTCAGGCCTCAACTCTTCGGAATTGAGGGAATTCAGTGCTTTCATCAGGAAATGTTCTGTGAGCCTGTAACAATCACGGTTCTATTAAGGCATGTGGACATAATATCAATGTACAATGTTGGGTTACGTCGCCAGACATGGTCACCTCGCCCAATCGGAAGATCCTCCACCTTTCGATCTTAGGGAACAAGGTCGTTCTCATTCAAAAAACAATCTGAGCGATTATAAAGACGGACTGACGAAGAGAAGGATTTTTAAATTTTCTATTTACATAACAAGGTAGGTATTGTTTGGACCTTGGCTAAAGAAATACCTTTAGTCTAGATCATTGAGCCAGTTTTTGAATTTCAAATTGATGGTAGGTGAGGATAAGATTCAAAATACAAAACCTGACTCAATGGTTTCAAACTAGACTAGACTACCTAAAGTTAAATCTTGTTTTGTAATAAGGGGAAAAGGGTCCTAAAATTTCGTCTAGCAAAACCTCGAACGAAATTTTGCGTTGTAAGTGGTAGTGGGACCCACTATAACCACATGTCCTAAAACACTACACATGTCCTAAAAATGTTTGATTAGTATTTGATATTTGAATTTTGACCTTAGGTCACACCGAGGTAAAGTTTGTAAGTTTGTATGTAGGGGGTAATGTTTGGAACCTCTGGTCGATTTCCAAAATTCATATATATAGGTATAGCTACAATGTTCCTGAGTGCTATAGGGTATAAAACATCACGCTAGGATTAAATGGAGCCGAGCAGCGGGTGCAACCGCGAGAGAGTCCAAAATATAGCGAAGAATGTAAACATGCACATGAATGCCATTACAAAACATTATCTTATCCTACATCGCAGATAAATGTCCTTGGCATTATGGAGACAGGATTATGAGTTTTATAGTCCAAGTTATCAATGTTTTTGTGTATAATGTAGGGAGTGACAATTTTATAAAACCGGTTTGTGTTAGTTGTTTATCAGTTGTTTGTGATACTCAAAATTGGCTATTTTATCATATTCGTAAATTATATCCAGAAATGATATGCGGACTTCCCTTGATGCTTGATTGATATGCCCCGGCCAGCGTCTCAGGCAAAGCGCTAAAAATGATGAGCTCAGAACAGGAGATGAGACGGGGTTGGTTTTTTTTTTTTTTTTGGTGTCGGGTTGGAAAATCCTCATGGAGACCCATCGCCCTCGGGGAAGGGCGAAGGGTACTGTCAGACTCTTACTGACTAAAAACCAACCCGGTGTTCCTCCAATAACCCATGTGTCGGAGGGGCGGGTATCGCCGAAGCATTCGTCGCAACCCCCCGACGGGTGTTGGCCCGCCAGATGGTAAGGCGGGCCCCGTCACCCACTGCGGCCGTCACCCCGACCGCAGGACTCCACTATGAGGCGCGCGCGGAACACGGCGCCGCCGCCTCGAGGCCTGCTGCTGGTCAGACGACAAGACGCCCCGAGTCTGTCGTCCACAGGCCGCGCCCTACGGTGGCCGCAGGTCGGCCACCCTACGACGTCTAGTGCCTCTGCTGCGGGAGGGGAGAGAGGAGGCAGCCTCTCTCTCCCTTTCCGCCGCCTCCTTTGCGAGCATCACGGCCTCGCAGAAGGTAGCGACGGTACTCCACCCTGACTCGCTCCCGACCATAGTAGACACTACAGCCGGAAACGAGAGATTTCCCGCAGCACCTACGGCCGCGACCAGGACACGACGCTGCTCGGCCCAAGCTGGGCACTCCGCCAAGGTATGCAGCGCCGTATCGTCGCGGCAATCACCACAATGATGGCACTGAGACGTCGGCTCCCGACCTATGCGACACAGGTACTTCCCGAAACACCCGTGTCCGGTAAGCACCTGCGTCAGCCGGAAGCTGAGGGCGCCGTGGCTCCTATTGAGCCACTCCTCTAGAACGGGCCTTACCGCCTCTATAGCGGCGTGCCCCGCCGTGGGTTGCGCTAAGCGCGTCTGCCACTCCGCCATTAAGGTCTGGCGGAGTTCTGCCCTGCATGCCTCAACCTGTCGAGGCATCAGGCGCTCGCCCCGCTCGACTGCCTCCGCGCGCCACCAATAGAGCGACGCGAGGAGTTTTGCGTCGAGGTCCCAGGGCGGGGATCCGGCTAGGAGGCTCGCTGCCTCAAAGGAGATCGTACGGTATCCCCTGATTATCCTGACGGCCATCGCGCGCTGTGGCCTTCGCAGCGCGGCGATGTTGCGGGCTGTCAGGGCGTCCGCCCATACTGGCGCAGCGTATAACGCCATCGACCGTACGACCCCCATCGACCGTACGACCCCCATGGGGTTGGTTTCGCGTCACTAGGAGTTTGAGCCTCCCTCTTGCCCGACCCAGGGTGGGGGTATTTGTAAGATGAATTTCCACCTCGAAATTATTGTATAGTACACTCAAATTTATCCTACCAGAACAAAATTACATAGCATGATAAAGGTCTGCAAAAATATTACAATAACATGAATTTAGTTATTAGAAACAAGCAGACGAAACGTAAACTATTCGCGAAAAAAAAAACAAAAACACGGAAGTTTGTATGGATGAATACTTGTTACTCTTTCACGTTAAACTACTGAATGGATGATCTGGATGAAATTTGACTTGGAGAAAGATTATAGTCTGGAATTAGATAAAGGATAGTTTTATTATTGTACTGTGGGCGTAGCCGCTGGTAGAAACAAGTTAATAACGTCTTTATTAGAACGACATAAGGGTCTATGAATATCTCGGGTGCTTTATATTGTATATATTTTCTTAATGACCTAAAAGACAGTTGAAAGGACCGGGATCATGATAAAACATTTAGTCCTAATGATAATTAGAAAGCTTGCATAATTAGGAAGCCCATTATGATGGTTTTAAATGGATCATTATTTTCTTAACAATAACCAGAAGGTTATTGTTTAAGCATTATTTATACCTACTAAAAGAGAGACAACAGATTTAACATTAGGTTGTTTTGTTGTCTTCAAATTTCACCAACGTTATGAAACTTTAAGGTGCAAATTTCCTTGAAGCTGCCGAAGTAATAATGTCTAAAATATTCGACATTATGTGCACATGTGCCATGCAAATATATCACGTGTATGCTAATCTTGACTATAATGATCACGATCCTGTCGGATGATATCCACGAAATAATGCATGTTGTTCAGTCCAACTTGATGTAGGATTTAATGTATTTACCGACGTTTTATTGGCAGACGCAGTTTATTGTACCGATGATATCAAGGATAAAATGTCATTGTTATCAAAATTACTGGTTAGTAGATGTAAACAAGTGTTTGCTGGTGTTTTTACAAGTAAAGTTAAGTATGGGAGAGTCATGCTTCGGCACAAATGAGCCGGCTCGAGCGGAGTGATACCACGGCCTCACAGAATACGGGCGTTAAAACACTTACATTGTGTATCACCTCGTGAGACACAACCTTTCCTTCATCCTCAATCCCCAATCCCCATCATTAAATCCTTTACAATCTACAAAAGGCCATCAAGCTCTTATGGTGCTACGAGTGTCCTTGTGGTAGCGAACATTGCATACCATCAGGGGCTGGTAACGATTTCAGGATTGACGATTTTGAAATTGCATATGGGGGTAATATTCTGTGCTTTCGGTAACATCTCCTATAAGACGAATCATAAAGCAGGTAATTTTGCAAAACCTAAACATAGATTTAAAAACTTACGTAAAATGTCTGTCAAAGGCCTTTAGAGCACTGTTGAAGGTCGGGTTCTCAGGGTTCAGCGTGCCTTCGCTCCTGACGAGGAAGCTACCGTCAGCTATATCTCGGCTGCATCGGACCAGCCTTTCTGCTGGAGTCAGTTCTTCTAAGGAACGCTTCGCCAAGGAACAGAGGTCGTGGATCTCGTCATCCATTGAGGTTTTTTCTGGTCTCCTGTGCAAAGATTGGTGTTAGGAAATTATTTGTGGGTCTGGTTGGGCATTTATTAATGGTAATAATAAGACTTTACATTTTTCTCGGTAGGTAGGTAGGTATTTGTTTTAGAGGGCTATGTTGATAATTTATAAAACATTACATTGAATTATCGAAATGATTATTGCATGTAATGAAATATCGACTAATACAATAATAAAATGCCTCTTATTCATTTTAAAAGTTTCATCAAGGAGGGTTACAAAGTCAAGGAACTTACTGGTTATCAGCAGTGGGTATATGCACGGGACCGTCAAGACAGCCCAATCTGATCCCAAAGATCATCATGCCAATAGTCTCGATGGCCCATCGGTAGATTTCAGTCTCCAATTCATCGTTTAAAGCGTTTTCTGCATGACGTAGATCTCCCAATCTAGGATGGAATAAGAAATTTGATTATTATTATTTGATTGATAAGGATGCATTTGGTGTGTACGATATTTAATGCAATATTTGTTTCTTAGTTTGTCTATGAAGATTTGGGTTAAAAATTTCAACTTTTCAACTCATTCTATTAGCGACCTGGATTTATCTTTACTCTTTATCCTTAGTTGTTTAGTAGTTAGCTTTTTTACAAAATTACACAGATACAGTTGTAATTGTGTAAAAAAGAGTAACCATGGAATTTCTTGTGTTTTTAACTTCTCCATTGGAATCTACAATTTGGAACAGACTACCTTCTTCTTTTGTCGTTCAAAAGTAGTCAATCGTGTAATTAAAATAAACTTTGACTTTTGAGTTGAGCCTTCAGGTAATAAAGGCGTGGCAGAACGACAATCCATTATTTCCAGAAAAATCATCAAAATTGATTGAGTAAACACTTTACGTCATTCATTTGACAGGAAACGCACAAACACGAGCCTAGCAGACGTAAACATTATCAAAAAAAATTGTGCTAATCAAACGATTATGGCTTTTGAATATTCTGCACGATATTATAGCTTTTAGCATGACCTGATACTAATGATGTCACATTTGTTAATGCTATAAACAAGATTTTTAGTGGGCGGGAGAAGTGATTTGATGATTTTCTCCTCACACAAAGTAATAATTACATGTAAATGAAAATGTTTCATTTTCTCAAGGTCACAATCATTTATTCATTTGTACAGTTCATTGATACCAAAACTAATAAGAACAAAGCGATGTATCACACGCTTAATGTTGGATATTAGTAGTCGATTTGTGACTTTATTCTGTGATTACAAAGTTCGTTTTTGTAAATCAAGTATTTATATATGCAGTACACATTCGACCTAAGTGTGACTTAGGAATTTTGTTTTTCATTTTAGTCAGTAGGTATTTGTTCGTTATTGTTTGATCGTATTTTGTTTTTGTTTGTGATCTTGTGATTGATATTGAAGGTTTTAAAGAATTGCATACCTAGAATGTTCGTAGGTCGTTTCACGATATTATATATATTATGCCCATGCCTTCCCAACGAAGGTGCTTAGGGGATTATTTCTAAATTTTTTTGTATCTACTTAAACAGGTAGGCCGTATGTCGTGGTGGCCCGGAGGCCCGGTACTGACGTTTGTCAGTGGTGTCTAAATAATGAAGGTAAACATCGTGAGGAAACCTGGACTTATGATTTCTAATTATAAGTTTGAAATCGCCAACCCGCATTGAGCAAGCGTGGTGATTAATGCTCAAACCTTCTCCGTGTGAGAAGAGGCTTTTTTCAGCAGTGGGCACTTATAGGCTGATGATGATGAGGTAGGCCGAAACCGAACCGAATAGTAAACGATGATGATGCTGAGCCTAGGCTGCGGATGTGCTCATATTAGTAGACAAAATATGGGTGGTTTTTACTTAGAAAGCGTGTGACACTCCTACTCGCCGCACCTAGGGTGGGAGAAGGAATTCATTGACAATATCCTCTTAAAAAAGGTTCACTCTTAAGCAACCAATTAATTACATTATATTGGTCAATCCTATAGGGTATAAAATCCATAATGAAGATATATTATAGTGGGTGTGTTACCTCCTCGTGATATCAGCTGCAATATCATCGAAAGCTTGGTCGTAGCATTTCAGTAAGCTGCCATCTTGTAAAAGCGCGCGAATTGCTGCCCAAATAGCTTTGTTTTCGTCTCTGTAAAGAAAAAAAAAATAATTAAGTATAGACAAAATACGTTTTAGTCAATTTTATAGAGTTTTAAGGTTTTATGCAAAATTGTGCATGATGCTTAGCGTGAATGTCTACTAACTGACTTAACCTACCCTATTTAGGTAACCTAGGTACCCTAATTAAGTAGGGTAGTATAAGTTAGATAAGGGTGGAGTACGGTAGAATGGGAGTAAAGCCGCGAGCAAACGCATTGTTAAAATAATACCGTAAAACATTTAATATGTATTTTTACACAATTATCTACTCGCTTCTATTGGCGTTTTTTATGTCTATTAAAATTGTTCCCTTTTTATTATATACATTTAATCGGCGCGAAAAAACCACTTTGTTAAACCACGTTGTTTCGCCGTGTGAATGAGGTTACTGGAGGTTACCAGTCTAATCCTTCCCTCCGCCTCTAAAACTCTAAATCTCTACTCCTCAAAAGGTCGGCAACGCACTCGTAACTCCTCTGTTGTTGCGGGTGTCCATGGGTGGCGCTGATTGCTTACCATCAGTTAATCCGTCTGCTCGTTTGCTATTCTATCACATGAAAAAACATTTTATCATTGCCAAAATATAGATCATAAATATGTATTATGTAATATCCAATTATCATGTGGTATACATTCGATAAACATATGTAGGAAATGGAAATCCTCTCTATCAATACTAATTCGGTACTGTAATGCACCTCTAATCTATCGATAACTAAATGGGCACTAGTTCAGTGATCCTATAGTGATGAGGGATTACATTTATCGACAAATATGTCTGATTATTTCTCACGCCGTCTCTTTCCGGGCAATGCATGGTAGATAAGATTATGTGAATAATTTATGTCATTCGATTATATTTGGGTTATTGAGGGATTATTGAAATAAGGACAATAAAGGAATTATTAAGATGTGCCAGACATGGAAAGTCATAAAATATGCGTTCAATTTCTAAATATTTAATAATTTCATAAAAAGCGAACTGCGAAAATTTAATTTTAGAACCGTTAAAAAAGAAAACAGTTTTCAAATAAAAACGGCAAGCGATTCATGCCAGTTTGCAAAATAAAATTTAAAAATCGAACATACCCGTGCACTGGACAGTGGCCCACAACCTTCCTATGTTGACAAAGCGGCGATTTTTCGAAGCGCGGAGGCTCCGTAGCGTAACTTTCATATACCTGTAACAACAGAAAAAAGGAATAAAAAACTTTGTTAATAAAAATTCGAGGGCCTATGTTCGGTTGGAAACTGGCTAACTCGCTTTTGTTTCCCAGGAATTCGCAATAGACCACAGTGTATATTTGTGTTAGAAACTCTTTTGTTTTGTTTATGTTTTCGTATTGTACGGCTAACAAACGTCAATGTTTGAAATACTATATTGATTCATCTGTAAGTTTGTATAAATAATGATGTGTTTGTAACTTGTAAACGCCAATAATTTTTTGCCAACCATGTAACAATTGCCGAGGCTCTTAAATTCTGAGAATTTTCAAAAAACATGCAACTAACTACTGGCTATTATAGGCACGATCTCAGATTCAATAATAATACTTTTTTTTACAATTTTACTCCCATTTTGTAAAGAAATGAAATCGTATAGCCACGATGAACCTTTGCATTGCCTTAGGGAACCTATATGGAAATGATGATTTTTAATCAGCAAATTCCTTGGATCGCTACCGAGGCGATAGGGCAACACATTTTCCTTATCCATGTAATGTAATATAGATTTTATTACGTGGCACCCTATGAGGTTTGAGCCTTTCTAGTAGGATGGAATTTAGTTGGCCGAAAGGGAATTTTGTGACGGGAAAATTAGTTTTGCCGTACGCCATATTTCTATGTTATTTTTTAGGTGTTAATGTCAAGTGAAGCTATTGAAAAATGAGTTCCGTATCGTTCTATGATACAAGAGACGTAAGGAGTCTTAAACCGTAAAGTATCAAGTCTAAGTATATAGTTATATCATAATCATTATCCGCCAGATTTCGTCCCCTGCTGGAATAGGCCTCCCCGATTAACGCTACTGAGCTCGATACTCAGCTCTTCTCATCCAACCACTGCTAAACATCTTGCGGATATCGTCAGTCCACCTACATAAGTGAAGGGCGCCAAACACTACGTTTGCCTAGAAGTGGTCTCCACTTTAGAACACGTCAACGGACCCCAATGGTCATCGTTCGACAAAATGTTACCTGCCCACTGCCACTTCAATTTGCTAATCCTTTACATTTTTATTGTAATAGTACATTACTAATTAAAAACGACTACGGCAAAATTTAATCTTAAAGCATAGAAATTAAAGTATACAATAAATTCATATGTAAATTCGTATGTTACAGTCAATTGTTTTCATTTTTGAAAACGGGTAAGCGCATTGAGGCACCGCGACCTCGGCACAGAGCAGGAGAAGGAACAGGGGGGTTTTTAGTCAGTAAGAGTCTGACACTCCCTCCTGCCCTGGGCGGGAGAAGTCATTTGATGATTTTCCCCTCACAAAAAAAAAAACAGTCAATTGTTGGTTGGAACCGATGCTACCGTCTGCCATCTGTACATATGATCCGAGGCCGTCGTGTCTGTGGTCAACTTATGTAAACATTGCTTGTGAAACAATGACGTATTGACGTCGAATTAGATGTATGTATATAAACTCTACTATGTATACGTTATATGCGTAAGGTCAACTAAAAATGAGTTAAGGACATCACTTCAAAATGGTGAGGAGGCTTTGATCATACATGAGGTCGGTTAATTAAGACACAAATATGATGATTTTTACCTTAAGAAGTTTTTTATTTATTGCTATTGTCAGACATTCTAAATTTATTGAAGACTAGCTACTCTCGCGCGGTTTCACCCGCTGCTCGGCTCTTACAAATCGTAGCGTGATATTTTATAGCCTATAGCACTCAGGAACATTGAAGCTATCTATCAGTGAAAGAATTTTGGAAATCCGACCAGCGGTTCCAAAGATTACCCCCTACATACAAACTTACAAACATACAAACTTACAAATACCTCTATAATATTAGTATAGATTATCGCTATCGCACGGAAACCATATTCATCAGACATAAATAATAAGTATTTTTCGTCAGTAAAAATAGCCTAATTTACTTATTATACACCCTACCAATACATCATCAGCCATTCCAAAGAATAGCCGGAATAAACGGACACACAAAAATTGTAAAATTGAAACGTACACACAGATAACAATAAGAATTTTTTTTTTTGAGCGTAGTATTGAAGAAATTCCAGTTTTTATTTATACAAGTAAGTATTTATAACGACTTTCTCACGTAGCGCACGCTATACATGAATAAGAACCCCGTTGCAACTTGAAACTGGTAGAGCTTCATAAAACTGCATTGGGCTGTACATTGATAGTGTAACTTATTAATAAACTGTTGAGTTTCCAAATATATACAATATTTTTTTTCAGTTCATTCACTTGTTTTAAGTCTTTATTTTTAATAAATAATATTATTACGAGAAAGTTTAAGTGTCGTGTTGGGACGTCTTTTAACTAGCAAAATCCCAATTGTACCTACAAAGTTGTAGTGTTTAAGAATCTTGATTTCGTCCTTGTTTAGTATGACGAAAATCTACCCAGAAGTGCTTGTAAAGGGTACAAAATTTACTCGTCGCCTACAAGTTTCAAAGCAAACATTGTAATATAAGCATTAAAAGCTTTTTCAGAGGGGTCTTATTATTTCAAGAACAGTTGTTAGGGTTGGGAGTTTGGGCCTTTGTGTGGTACATACACAAACATTGTGTAAAGGAAACAATGACACATAAATTAAGATAAGTCAACATCAACACTTATTACCGCTCCGCACGTGGTCGCGGCGTGTTACGGTCGCATGTTACACCGTTACGTAATATTCTCGTCAGTTCATACATAAATATTGGTTATAAATATGCTTTTTGCAAACTGTGGTTTTCATGTGATTATGTGGAATGCGTTATTTGCTATAAGGGATTTGTTGATGACCTATTTAGTATTGCTTTAAGCAAAGTATTGCAAATGATTGTGTGCAGTGTTATTTTTTTGCTGCTTTCAACATTTTGTACAATGTCATGAAAAAATATACTGTTTTGTGAAATTCTTGATTTCGTCCTCAAGATCTAGGTATTTTTAGGAAACCTCATACATACCTACATCAACTTGATTGATACAAACATGACATTATTATGTAGGTTTTACATTTTAGCTCAGCATAGAAAAGATAATTAAAAAACAGTCACGTGCATTCAAATTATCTCAAAAATTATAAATACAAAAAATGTTATCGTTGTGAACAATTTGCAATTCAATGAGGTTACATTTTATCATTAAAATTTGACCTACATTATCGGTCAGAAGCTGTAGCATAATATAGTCGTAAAATTGTATTTATAAATAATGTGCACGGTGTGATAGTGTGACTTTAAGTAAATATAAACAAACCATTTGAGGCTTTACTTTATTTTGATGGATATATTCACTTTATATATGTATATTATTGGGATAATGAGATTATTTTGAGCGAAGAAGGATGTTAAGTATGCTGGTGGTGGAATTGGCAGAAAAATTATAGCGATTTTATAGTCAAATTGAGTGTCTTGTCAAAATAGGTTTATTAAAATCACTGTGATAAGTGGTAAGTAGGGAGATGTTTTTATAATAACTATCGTGAGACATGCTAAATTAACTAAAAATCGCAGGTTATTCACGTATATACATATATTGAGAAAAGCTCTACTAGTTTGGAACCACAGAGGGGTTCTTCCTCATGAGCAGCGTGCGCGGATAACCCGCGATTTTTAGTTAATTAGGTAGGCAGATAATAAAAAAATTACATAAATAATAAAGAATACGTTTAATACAATAATTGTATGGAAAACGACCTACACCTCCAGCAATAAAATAGAATAATGATAGGAAACTACCGTATAAAAAGGCAAAATATCGTGCGAGAGAAAGTGACGCAAAAGGGTGGACACGGAAATATAATAATGACAAAATAATAATCAGTTGTTCGTTTTAAACTACGTATACCTAAAATCTGATACAAAGGTACATTGACCCTTAGAAATATGACCGTATTTTTGCAGCACAGAGTGCCTAGCACGAATGACTATCGTAATCGTAACGTTAACGTATCGAGACGTCGATACTTCATGTGACGAAAACGGAATGTCGCAGCACGAAGCCTATCGTATCGTCTAGCGAGAGCTCGAATCGAATTCGTTAGTGACGTCATGCTAATGTAAGCTAGAGAAGCACCCAAGTGAACGAATTGAATGAATTCTTGAACATAATTTAACATAAAGATTTCGTCTGAAAACTAAAATTAATTTTAAACATATTTCAACCTTCGTCTACACCTTTTATGGTATTATATTTAAATGAAAAAATATATATTACGTGAAAGAATTTTTAAAACGAGTCAAGAAGTATATAAAATGACTTTATCTTTGAAAAAAATATTATTTGGTTATTTAAATTTTGTAACCTAATTTACGATTTCCGAACGTTCTTTCGACAAAGGTGACATTTAATTTTGACGGCTATTGACGTATTTTTTTTAACAAACAAAACAAAGAATGTAGTTAAGTAATTATGCGGCTATCTTATTATGCGGTTACTTTAAATTTATTTTAAAATGAGGAGGACTCGGCTCCAATACGAATTAATGGTGGATTTCATGGAATATGCCAGTGACAAGCAGCGAGCCTTCAGTGTTCCGACCACTCCGCAGTACCCATGAAGCCAGCCGTTCACCGACACCACCAGTCGCCAATCCTCCATTACAAAAGGAATGCTGGAAGCCTCGACCGAAAACAAAAATGTAAAGGGAGTTTAATCAAATTGTGTTTAGAAAATGATAAGAAACCTAGGGAGTTTGCTAGGGAGCGTGAGGAAACATATGATATAATGGAACAAGAGCGTTTGGAATTACGACGAGAAGAATGAAGAGTAAGACAGAGAGATGCAGAGCTCCTTTTACAGGCTCAGTGGCTGGAACTTATGAGAGAGGCAATAAATGTATTAAAATATAATCTAGTTAAAAAGATGATTAATGTATATTTACATATTTTATTTTAAATTACTACATTTTGGAATGAGGAAAGGTTATGTTAGAATTGAATTTAAAATGTCTCACTATAGTTACCTATTATAAAAACATAG